TGACATACACTATTTCTTCGATCGTCATCAACTGATTTCGGAATACTGTAGAAAATTGACCCTAGAATGCTGTTTTGCGTGTGAGTGTGTTTAGAAGGTTATTAACCAAGAATGCATGAACGCTACTTAAAACGTTGTTACCCATTTCTATGCAATTTAAAACTGTAAATGACATGGCTGCCAAAAGTGGCTTTTTCATTAGAAGTGACATGGATTTTCATTAGAAGTCGAGTAACACTAAATTCATAACATTCAGAACCTCATAACATTCAGAATCTGTACGCATCTGTACGCCGATCCATTGTGAACAATAAATAAATTGATTGAAGTGTGTTGTGAATATCAGTTCATAAAATTGGTTTTTGGGAACGAAAACGGCTGATAGTAATAGGATAAATGTATTTAGATGATTGTGACACTGCGAATTTATTCCTTATTGGCTGGTTTCGCTCGGAAGTATTCAATATTAATTGAGAATTAATTTGTGCAGCCACCAATTGCACTCTATCTCTTTTCTCATTCGCACATCCATACACATGCATCGTTTGTTCATTCAGCGATTGTTCTTTCAACATGAAATTCTATTAATGATTTCACAACAATTGAACTAACTCACTCTAGCAACGGCTCATGGTAATAGGATAAATAGACACAAAGTTCGTCATTCAACAATACGTTCAAACATGATGATACTCGTGCAATACTTCATTCGTCTTTTCCAGCATCGTTTCCAGAGGTTCGAGGTTCGTTTTTCTCATTCGCTTTGCAATCATTGAAGCAGCATCAGCTCTCTTGATTTACTCCAGTCGATTGATGAACTACTAACTCATCAACATATGAGTGTCACTAGTGTTTGCCTCTGAAAATAATTTTCAACGACCATCCTCCATCGTAAGCATCATTGTTGTAGTGATCTAAATGCATTATTCATATGATTAGAGCTGAAACAAACAATTCAGTGTTGAAACAGCGTCACTTTGTTCGGGCTATACACTTTTGTCACAGACCAAAATTTAGATGATTCTGCAATGAAACTACGAAGAATGCTGCGAAGAAGAATTGATTTCTTTTTGGCGCAGACAATACTTGAATTGAGGAAAAAGTCTAGTATCACTTGAGTCGAATCGAATATTCTAGAGAAACTCATCGTTTCGGTGATTTTCGTGGAATGATCATTACGAGAAGTGAGTGAAATCGTATACTGTGATGTTCACTGATTCCTTGAAGTAATTATTCGAGTGACGATACACAATTCACTTCAGACAATCTTGCTTCAACGAACTCGCCAATCACCTTCTTGCCCGCAATCCGCTCATCTTCTCTTCTCTCAAATTTTCATCCACATTTCAATTTTTCGTTCTCTCCAATAACTTTTCTGCTACATCCTACGCGTTCAGCCTAACTGAAGCAAATTTGCTGTGCGCAGTAAGCGTGAAATTAATGCAGCGAACGTTCACGCAAACCAATACATCGTCTATTTTTTTACGTTGAAGATGCAAATGATTCACATTACGCCTCTTTATTCGTAACTATTCGAACTCTCGTAAAAATGCTCTAACTATCAGAATCAGTCGCTCTCAGCATGGCAGCGCTCACCAAAATTTTACAAAGAAATATGTATTTTCAGATATCTATTAATCATTCCGGAGGACACCGAAAATGGTGATCGTAAGCATGAATTTTTGGAATATTTCTGATTATCCACTAACTGACGTGCTCTTTTCAGCCGTGAGAAATTGAGAATTGGATATTTTCAGTCAGCGGGAAAACTGGCTAAATTTGGAGATATTACTTTATGCGTGTAGCTACTTTCCACATTCTTTTCATTCTTTCATTCCACGTCGCTGACGATCCTCAATGGCAACAGAATAAAAACGTTTCGAAATTTGGACGTTGCTTAACATTTCCCAACGCCTTTTGCAAAATGTCATTTGTAAAATTCCTCTAGAAACGCCTCTAAAGTTTGGTGATTTGATCAATACTATCTATCAGTAAACTAGTTAATTTGACACGAAATTTTAAGTTGGAATATTTCTCAGATGAAATCCAAACTTCAAAAAGTTTTTATTCCGTCACCATTAAGGATTGTTTGCGATTTGTGATGGAAGAATCGAAATGAATATAGCCGCTTAAAAATTTTTTAAGAAGGAAATATTCCCAGTATCTCTGNAAAAACAAAAGCTTTTTGATCCTTGCAACGACCAGTAATGAGCTACAGCTGTCAGTTTTGTTACACGTCATTCATTACCACACGAATCAAAGAATTTTTTTCCCAAACATCACGCACCAGTCAATTTCACTACAGTCAAAATATTCCATGTGACGACTCTATTGTATGAGTAGTAATTAGATGTGAATTTGTAACTGTACTAACAGTTTGCTTCGAATGTACACGTCAATTCATTTTGCTTCTATGTTCACTGGATATACGAGCAATTTTGTAGGAAAAACAAAATGAAAAAGACAAAATGATAACTTTCGACGAAATCCTCGAGAAATGGGCGGAGCGCGGTTTGATGCTCTTAATGTTTGAATTTATCCTGCTATTAGAACTAATCCAACGCAGCTACTTCCAAAAATGTTTTCAACACTGGCAACTAGCGTAAGCGTTCTTGAATCGAAATGCGCACAACACAGTTTCTTTACGGTTCGTCTTTGCTTTTTAAAAGTTATTTGATGACTTCTTATTTGCAAAATGTGCGTTCTGCAAATCAGCATCAATTAGTCTCTAAATCAGTCTCAGACTCCTCTCTAAAAGCATCGAACTTATGAAACCGCCAATATCAATATCATCGTGCAATTGCACTGGTGCATTTGGACGGCCTTTGCCTCATCTCATTCCGTGGTAACATCCCTGCGGGCTTAATATGTCCAATACATCTGATGCGTTTATTTTATTTATGTTCGTTTCATTCGATTCCTATCCAATGAAATACTCATCATCATCTCAATATTGTGTACATCTTCAAACCGTCACACTGAATTGACAGTTAATCAGTTTGGTGATGTTCACTTTGCAAGAAACATTCTGCCTTGAGACTGAAATCAAAGTAAGCACGGGGAATGAAAATAAAAAGAAAGAACATCAAACCGAAGCGGAATGTCGGTAATCTGTCGAACGATCCGTCAAAGGGTCTTATTAAGATAATTGGGTAATATCGCTATGGTCGGGTAATTGTTTATCTGGATTGTGACTGCCTGTGATGTATCTATCACTCGTTGCAATCGTATTGAGTGCTGCTATAGGTGTCTAATAGAACGTAGCACTAGCCGTAGTGCACTGATGGAGTAATGGTGTTGAAAAATGTTTGAATAGCATTCATAGTGATATCATGTTCCTATGGAGTTAGGCTTGAAAAGAGTGGAAATGTAGTATTGATGCTGGCTGCATCTGGTATGGTCTAAGTTGCTGATTTCTGTTCAGCTACTCTTTATCAACTATGATTACCATCTTGCAAAATGCTTATCCCATAAGTGCAAAATTCCAGAAAGCCAAACCGTTTACTCTCCACTGCTCGTTACTTATACTCGTTCTTCTCTACGCATTCTTCGGCGGTCTCGTCTTCAATAAACTTGAAGCTGAAGCTCTTGTGAGACAAGAGAATGACGAATACGAAAAAAGAAGAAATTGTGTCCTTCAGGTGAGTTCATTTCATTTATGAACATACAATCACTACTACCATATCACATGCTACTACCACAACTTGATAGGCATGCCAGCCTAACGATAATCTGATGACTACTGATGAGAGATTGTGAACAAGATTGCTTGAAAGGATTGTCAATGAATACGATGCAACGAAGCAGTAGCGAGATTTGATCAATCTCTTACTATAGTGTCGTTGATCGCTTTTGTGTAATTTCATTCGATTAACTTCAGCGTAACTGTTTTCACATTAGAAAGAAGTGTCGAAGGATATCGAAGAAATTGTTTAGTGTCAGTAAATGCATCGGTTTCTTGCTCCAAAATCGTTATGAATCCCCACTTATGAATCAAATAACTGCTGAGTCTGGTATACGATTTCGAATATTTTTGTGATATCAAACAGTTTGAATTTCTAATTAAACCACGAATCACTGTTTTCGCAACAATGCCACCATTCTCATGATTATGCTTCTCTCCTTTCAAATATTCACCGTGAGTAACAAATATCATCAATGTTATGTCGGCGAACATCATGCCTGACTTTGAAGACTTAATCGTGGCTCACTACTGAGCTCTGATCATTCTTTATTTATCGATCACTTGCTTTCTTGTTACCTATTCTTGCGCACGAAAAACATTTTGCACGTAACAGCAACAGTATGAAAATGAGAAATTCTTGAAGAGGACTGAGTCTATGAGAAATTATATATTCATGCGTCACCTTCATTGCTGATCAATGATATTAGACAAAATAGCTAGGAAAAGCACTACAAATGAACTGCTTAATACTCAAATACGAATGTGTAGTAAGCAAGAAGATTTTGTAGATTACCAAAAATGGATTGTGGATGAAAACAAGGTCGTAATGGCGATTGACTTACTTAGCGTGGTTGTATGCTGGCGAATCCCCTCACTTACTTTTGTTCAATTTTCAGATCATCTTGCATCAATCAGTAATAAATTCTGAGAGCACACAGAACGATAGTTTCGGTAAATAGGTTCCATGTGAGATATGTTTCAATCGCGAAATTTTCATTTCCTAAGCCGATTTCGTTCCCAGGAGTAATTCTAGGCCGAGCAACACATTGTGCACTCAGACTTTTGCATTCGTTGATGCATGAAAGTTCGCCTGAAAAAAATGTCATAAATAATAACATCGTTTCTGAGTATTTTCCAATAGTTCTGAGGCATAAACATTTTGTCTGGTTGAGTTATGAGACATAAATACGACGCATCGTCTAAGCAGTGATGAGATCTCATGAGG